TCCCATAATTGTTAACACTAAGCATAACAAAATGAGTATTGATTTTTGGGTAAGTAGATAATATCTGGTTTGAAGTTTGATTTCTTTAAAAAAACAACAATCGTTATTAACTGTATGTGTATATTTGCAGGTCGCATTCGTGTTGATATACTGTTCAAAAGTATACAAAGCAATTATTTGAGCGCAAAAACAAACCTGCACTAAAATATCGCTGTTACATTTACTATTTTTCATAATACAAAACTTATCTTTTAGATTATAAGAACAGCAAACGCGTTCTACACTGTTTTCACCCGTCAGTCATATTTTCTTTTCTCTTAAACTCGTTTCAGTGAGTGACACTGGATTAATGAGTTTTTCTCTTGAACATCGTTTCAATTCGGTTTGACGATTATGGTGAAACGCATTCTCTAAGGAGCAACAGCAAGTTAAGATACATGTAGCACTGTAACTAACAAGTGGATGACGTAATAAATTTCATCCTTCATTTCCGTAGACTACCTGATAAGAGTCTGTACTTTTCCTTTGAAAACACTAAGAAGATCAGGAACACCTGCGAAAAGAAATCATTAAAATTCCAGGAAAGCTTATCCAACGATTAATCCCGCGTGTGATGAAGATAAAGATCTGCTGTAATTCGGTAGACGACATATGGACATACGTGCCCTCTTGTTGCTGTAAGCTGATGCTGTTTTTGTAATTGCGAGACAGTTCTCGCCACAGCCTCCCATCATTTGCAATCGGAGATTTGATAACCCGATCATATGTAACTTTGGTTTGAAGAAAAACACAACAACACATGATACAACTTTAGAGATTTATTACACTCAGAGAACATGCTGACAATTGGCGGGAAGTGACTCATGGGACCTGGGCCGACCCCGTGACCAGTGAGGGGTATGAGGGGGGGTTGTCAGGGGGATCCGGACCCCCTTCAATTTCTGAAACAAAAACACATAAATACTACCTTCTTAATATTGAATAGCTGAATCACATTTCTAAATGGCACCGTTTCCCTCTAAAATATTATTTTTTTCTGGGCCCTTTGGGGGGGGGGGCGCCAAAGAAAGGGGGGGATGGTCTTTCCTAAAAAACGGACCCCCTTCAAATAAACCTGGGTCCGCCTCTGGTGACCCTTTGTCAACAGACAGCAACTCTAATAAAAAGCTACATATATCTACGAATATATTCATGGTTATTTTATGTCTGCCGAAGTCACTGCGCATTGTGTATCGCCTATGTATTGTTTTCTAAGACGACTCCCAGACCATACATTTCTATACTTATTGCACAAAAGCGTATCGGATGAGCTCCAGTACTGCTGAATTCTTGCGTATTTTAGGACGTCTTTGGGTGTATTAAGCTAAAGCGCCGTTTATCACACACGTTGAGGGTTACAAAAATGAGCAAAATGCTGGTATTGGGAAAATAAGCAATAAACAAGCACAGTGTACTACAATACAGACAGCATAGGGATAAAAAATGTTTGGGTTTGCTTTGTTTCACGTGTAGTTTCCCTTTTATGGGAAGGGCAATTGGGGGGGGGGGGGGGGGTCACCTAAAAACCTTGTGGAGGGGGACGCGCCCGCAGTGATCCAGTGGCTTATTAATATTATATAATCTAATGTAATAATGGGAATATCACGCTGCCTACAGGACAACTGGAAACGGCGTTGTTGTGCGAAAAAGAAAAAAAAAAAAAGAACAGAAAGTAATACTCAGTGTCCATGGATCTGTTCAGTGCCAAAAGCTCTTTGTTCCACTGGTTATGAGTGAAAATGGTCCACCCCAGTCTAAAAATAGTCACAGAGGAAAATACTACAATATTTTGACAAGCCTACCTAAGACGCATTTTACAGTTAAGACAAACTTTGCAATACATTGTCTTTAAATTAAATATTAAAAAGAAAACGTGTATTTCATTTGTGCCTCTATTTTGACAAATCTACCTAAGATGCATTTTACAGTTAAGACAAGCTTTGCAATATGTTGTCTTTAAATTAAATATGAAAAAGAAAACGTGTATTTCATTTGTTCCTCATCTATCATTTTGGAACTGGGTTCACCATTTCTAATTTCTACCCTCCTCCACCTTCCCGTGTCTAACCAGCCAATGGATCATTCAAAAGTATTAGTAAATGGAAATGATCAAACCTGCTGTAGTAAGAATAGTAGTCATAGGTACAGATATACAGGGTATCATTTGGTTAGTACAGGTACAGGTTAGGGTTAGCCGAAGTATTGGGGTTAATAAGTATATGGGACGAATGTCACTGTGTCCAACCAATGGATAACTCAAACTCATAATCAGCCAATGGATAACTCAAAACTACAGGGTAGTAGTAAATCAAAATGACAAATATCAGCTGTGGTAGGAATGGTAGTCTTTGGAATGGGGATATTGGGTCCCATATGATCACGGTTAGTCGGAGTATTGGGGTTAGTACATGTCACCGGAACAAAGTAATGGGGAGCAGACTACAGTTCATAGTGGACTACCATTCTGGTCACAGCGGTGTGTTAATTTAAACACCCAAAAACTAAAATACCCAAGAAAAAAGAAAACACCTCGTGTACCAGCACTTCACCACGCAGACCACCCCTCCCACATGAGGACGCCAAACTATTTTTCCCGTCATGCACATCTATCGGTGGTTTCCGTTGTGTCTTGTCGACGTCCACTGGGCAGCGGTCTGTGTTCGAATCTTGCAAGATGACCAGGTATTCTTTGCCGTTAAAGAAGACCGTCTCTCTCCTGGCCTTCAGCGTCCTAGAGAACTCTGCGCGGTAGGAAGCAAACAGCTTGGAACCTTCACGATAGCCGCGTACCATTTTGGTTAATCTGGCCTGGAAGTTAAAGACTGCTACCAGTGATGGGTCTGTTGCATTGCGGTTCGTCTCTGTACAGGTGTTTTGGTCAGGCATAAAGCGCCATGCACCGTCGCCGATAACTTTGTAAATCTTGTCATAGAATAGAAAAGCTATGTTCACGTCACAAATGCCTTCATCTGCAGAAGCCTTCTGTTCGTGTTCCGACATAAGCGCAATTGGGATGGTAAAATCAGTGTTGACCAGATATCTTATTGGAGAAAAACACTGGTCCTCTTCTTCGTTGCAAAGTGCCTGGAAAGCAAACGGTTCACCTAAGATATTCACATTTTTTAAAAAGGTTCTTATAACTATAATTATTTGTTTATGTTGGTATATTATCGCGGCATAGTTGTAAATCATTTTATATATAGTTTTTTAAAAGTCCGGATACCATTAGCCATATGGAGACGGATAACATATGGCTAATTAAGTCTCTTTAAGTCNCGACAGTGTTATTTAAAAGTATAGCGACACCCCTCGAATTCGACCTGTACGAGCTAAAATAGGCCTTATATCCCCACTCAGACCTAACCCTTGATTCTATTTCTGCCGTAAAATGTGTGTCTTGTAGGCATAGGATATCATATTTCTGTTGTCTTAAATAAGAAAATATGTCTTTCCTTTTTTGTCTATCCCCAAGGCCCTGGCAGTTAACGGAAACAATCTTAATACAATTTGTCATTTGAATGTACGGCTCTAATAAGTGTCGGGGTTAGCTTTTCCCCGTATTTTGCTTTTCATCGCTCTTACCTCAAAACAACTTTTTACCACCACCAGATTGGCACCGTTCTTCCAAATAGCTCCACCTATCATCAACATAAAAATATAATGCAATAAGTGGACGAGTATAAGAGAAAAAGTAAAATTAACATAAATTGTCATAATGGGCTATCTTATACGGTAGTGCAACAGCTTATCCGAGGTAAGAGCGTACGCCTTAGAACCTCTGCACTTACACTTGCTAGGTACTCCCTTTCACTTACACAGAATAACATGAGCTGTAAACTGTCCATTTTGACATACACACTAACACAAACTTTCACACACACACATATCCACAATACACGAGTCATCTCTACAAAATACATAGGACGTATCACGAGTCCTAGAAAAGACAAAGCAGTGGTACATGTAACACTCACGACGCTTGTATACATCAACTAGCCGTCGGTCACGTGCACGGACACGGTGATTGTATTGTTGTTACAATCTGTAAAATATCGGTATGTTCTATACTACACATGTCGGCTGGGACACCTAGGGGCCCTTTTGTGTTTGAGACAAGAGCGAATAATAATAGGAGTTTAGTTCCCCGTCATTGCCTATTAAGCAATATATATTGAGCAATGTGCACATAATCGTAGCCAAATACTCCCAATAGCTACGATGTCCCCTTCCATTCGGAGCGTGCCAACCGACATCGAAAATTGAGCATTGTTGAATACATCTTATATTTGCTTGTATTGTCAATAGATTAGCTAGTAGTACCACATGTATAACAGCATACCGTATCTCGAGAAACGGGTGTGTGTGATCATCCAGTGCCCACATTAGCAAGACGCCTCGTGAATACCTGTATTATAAAAAAAATATATGATCAATAACTCAAAACTATATATAATTATTATTATCAAGTACACAACCGGGACAGCGATAATCTGTACATATATTCACCATAGAAGCAGCTCACCCACACAAGCGTTTGACTATATATGTATATACATCTTATCTAACAAACTAACCTAGCCTACACGATCTAATCTAATAGGAGAGCGTCAATTGCGGACTCTTGGTAATAACTGAATCTCTCTGAATTTAAGTGCTGTCCAACCACACTTGACACTACAATCAATCTATTTTCTACCCTCTTGGCTTCTAGGAGGTTGGCCAGTGTTTTGGCTACACTTACATCGTTATTGTCATTGTAATATACTGTCCAGGCACCGCCACTTTTTATTCTGTAGGCGTAAACCAGCAAGGCTCCGCTTTCTTGGCCGCCTGCTATTATGGAGGCAAGCGCAGATTGTGCGTCTTCGACCGAATTCACTCTTGTAGAGATTCCCATAAAGGAGTTACCCTTTGCTTTAGTTTTCTTTTCAGAGAACTTGATTTCATGTCGATGGTTTTTCCTATGTGTTGGTAGGTTTTTTTAGAGAGTTATCGGGCTTGCGATCATCTGGGATATATAAGGAGTTATTTACATAGAGTTTTTCGCCCACTAACCTGTGTTTGATATTTTTTGCCCTTAACTCTTTCATGACGGGATAAAGCGTTCTTCTTCTTTCTTCCACCTCCTTGGGATACTGGTCAGTTATCCTTATGTAGGTCCCCTTTAGATTTTTGGTATATTTCATAACAGTTCTTTTGTCNTTCCTATGTGTTGGTAGGTTTTTTAGAGAGTTATCGGGCCTGCGATCATCTGGGGTATATAAGGAGTTATTTACATAGAGTTTTTCGCCCACTAACCTGTGTTTGATATTTTTTGCCCTTAACTCTTTCATGACGGGATAAAGCGTTCTTCTTCTTTCTTCCACCTCCTTGGGATACTGGTCAGTTATCCTTATGTAGGTCCCCTTTAGATTTTTGGTATATTTCATAACAGTTCTTTTGTCATGGAATGTCGTACATTTTGCTATTATTGCCCGTGGTTTGGGTCCGTTAGTTACCGATCCAATGCGATGAACCCTATCAAAAGACACGGTTTCTTCCGCGGGAATCTTCATCTGTTGAATCAGCACCTGCCTCAGTGTATTCTCCACGTTTTCTTGAGGTCCAGTCTCGGGAATGTTATGAAATAGTAGGTTATCTTTCATGGATCTCGTTTGCAGATTTATTATTATCTGGTGATCCGTATCGACTTGTCTTTGTAGGCTTTGTACTCTCTGCTCGCTAACATTGAGTTGTTCTCTTAGCACATTGTTCTCAGTTTCAAGAGCACTTACTTTCTCATCCAGTTGGGTCATATTTTCATCGAGACTTTTAACCGAAATCTCAACTTGTTTGAGAGAATCTTTGAAGGATTTTGTAATGGCGTCCAATTTATCTTCGAACTTTGCCAAACAATCACTGATAATGTCCCTGATTTCGGTGTTGTCTGTAATAAGATATTTGTCACCCTCTTTTTTCCTTGAGTTTTTATCCATATTGCTCTCTTTGATGTGGAGTTTGGCCAACGGTGTGTTTTCTGTACTGGATGATGAACCATGGGAAGTCCTTTGTCTTCCCCTCTTCATTGTTTCATTGGCGCGATTTTTAAACGTACGAAAAAATCACTTTTATCGTCACAGTACCGGGAATCCTGCCCTTTTCCGCTGTCATTTCAGTTTATATTCATCCTCACACAGTCAGCCACTGTCCAACTACAACCGATCGTATATAATTTAAGAATTTTATCACCGTGGCCCCAGCTTGAGTGCTACACCGCCGCCATCTTGAATCTGGGTTCGGTTCTATGAAATATGTTCAAGTTCTTAAAAATTTTTTTTTACAAATTATCCAGCTTTAAAACCTTGTCTTTGAAAAAAACAGTTAACTAATAAAGGCTATGAAATGCTCAAAATAAAATTGGAGCAATGATTATTATTGATCTCATTAGAAAATTTTTCCTTCATCATTTTGCATTTTTGTAGATGTAACCGAGTGTTTCTTGTATTTTATAGCATGGCAACAAAGTTGATTGGTTTTCCAAAAATTAACGTTTATTCAATTCAATTATGGCATATAGAGTCATATGTAATAAAATGACATACAAAATGGCATATATAAAGCCCCCTGAAAAAGGTACAAAGAGAATATTTTAATAAGGCCTATTATAAAGTTACATACATACATACTGAAATACTGACATATTGAATGTGAGACAAATATCGGTATCTTTTATAATGAATAACTATGAATGAATATAATACTTTATAAGTAAATACC